CCTGGGGCGGGGGCCCGGGGACGGGGTCCGCTTGCTCGAGGGACGCGGCTCTGGGAAGGCAGGCGGCCTCTTCGGAAGCCCCCCCCTGCGTCTTCTGAAAAGCCCTCTCAAAAGGTCCCTCCGACCCCTCCAACAAGCAGCCCCCCTGACTTCTGAGCTTGTCTTGTGGGTCTCTGCTTTTGGGGCGGCCCTTGGGGGCTGCGTGCGCTCTTGGGTCTCGCGGGGGCGGTGAGGTCCCTGGCAATAGCTTCCTCTCTCATGGGGGTGCCGCAGCGGGGTGCCCTTGCCTGCCAATGCGGCCCCCCCCGGGTTCCTCGACGCCGCCCTCGGTAGTCCGCCGACGCCAATGCCCCCTCCCCCAGCGCCTCCGCCTGCCCCTTCCACCATCTCCATTCCTTCTCCTTATAGATCACTCCTCCCTGTCGCACCCCGAGGCCAGTTTTTTAGGGCGGGCCTGGCGTTTCGCCTGAGACTTCCTCACCGCTTACGACTCTGAAGCACAAAAAATGGCAACACATTCACAGATGGAGGGCGGGTGGTTTTCAAAATGTGGCACTCGCCTTAGCGCCGCGCGCACTCATTTTCACAATTTGCAAGATCTTCACGGATTGAGGGCGGGTCGTTTTCAAAATGTGGCTCTCGCATTCGCGCCGCGCACATTCCTTTTGAACATTTGCAAGAGCTTCCCGTACTGAGGGCGGTTCCTTTTCAAAATGTGGCTCTCGCCTGAGCGCCGCGCACATTCGTCCTCCTAAAACTTTGCAAGAGCTTCCCGTAATGAGGGCGGTTCCTTTTCAAAATGTGGTTCTCGCCTGAGCGCCGCGCACAGTCGTTGTAAACATGTGCAAGAGCTTCACGCATTGAGGGCGGGTCGTTTTCAAAATGTGGCTCTCGCCTTAGCGCCGCGCGCTTTGCATTCACGGATTGAGGGCGGTTCCTTTTTCAAAATGTGGCTCTCGCCTTCGCGCCGCGCACATTTGTTCTTGAAATTTACGTTTATTTCACGGATTGAGGGCGGGTCGTTCTTTGAATGTGGCCCTCGCCTTCGCGCCGCGCACAGTCGATTTCAACCTTTGCAAGAGCTTCACGGATTGAAGGCGGTTCCTTTTCAAAATGTGGCTCTCGCCTGAGCGCGGCGCGCATTCGTTTTAAACATTTGCAAGAGCTTCCCCGAATGAGGGCGGCTCCTTTTCAAAATGTGCCTCTCGCCTGAGCGCCGCGCACATTCGTTTTAAACAGTTGCAAGACTTTCACGGACTGAGGGCGGGTCGTTTTCAAAATATGGCTCTCGCCTTAGCGCCGCGCACTTTGCATTCACGGATTGAAGGCGGGTCGTTTTCAAAATGTGGCTCTCGTCTTAGCGCCGCGCACATTCGTTTATAAAAATTATAAGTGCTTCACGAATTTAGGGCGGATCCTTTTCAAAATGTGGCCCTCGCCTTCGCGCCGCGCACAGTCGTTTTAAACATTTGCAAGAGCTTCACGGAATGAGGGCGGTTCCTTTTCAAAATGTGGCTCTCGCCTGAGCGCCGCGCACATTACCTAACAACGAAAACTGATAGGTTTCTAGTGGGGCCAAAAAGAGCATCATGACACCCCAGGGGGGTCTGGGCGGGATCCGGACGGGATCCGGGGACTCCTTTTTAGCCAACAGTATCACACTTCGTGGTCTTCGAGTCCCAGAACTCCATTCCTGGGCATGATTTTGAATGCCCGGAGCCAACTGCAAGCCACTTCGTGTTCTTCGAGTTCCCAGAACTCCATTCCTGGGCATGTTTTTGAATGCCCTGAGCCAACTGTAGGGCACTTCGTGGTCTTCGAGTTCCCAGAACTCCATTCCTGGGCATGATTTTGAATGCCCGGAGCCAACTGTAGGCCACTTCGTGTTCTTCGAGTTCCCAGAACTCCATTCCTGGGCATGATTTTGAATGCCCGGAGCCATCTGTAGGCGACTTCGTGGTCTTCGAGTTCCCAGAACTCCATTCCTGGGCATGATTTTGAATGCCTGGAGCCAACTGTAGGCCACTTCGTGTTCTTCGAGTTCCCAGAACTCCATTCCTGGGCATGATTTTGAATGCCCGGAGCCAACTGTAGGCCACTTCGTGGTCTTCGAGTTCCCAGAACTCCATTCCTGGGCATGATTTTGAATGCCCGGAGCCATCTGTAGGCCACTTCGTGGTCTTCGAGTTCCCAGAACTCCATTCCTGGGCACGATTTTGAATGCCTGGAGCCAACTGTAAGCCACTCCGTGTTCTTCGATTAACTCAATTCCTGGGCATGATTTTGAATGCCCGGAGCCAACTGTAGGCCACTTCGTGGTCTTCGAGTTCCCAGAACTCCATTCCCAGCCACATTTTGAATGCTGAGGAGGCTGATGCTGAGGCTGAGGCAGGCTGAGGCAGGCTGAGGCAGGCTGAGGCAGGCTGAGGCCGAGGCTGAAGGCAGGCTGAAGGCTGAGGCTGAAGGCAGGCTGAGGCTGAGGCTGAGGCAGGCTGATGCTGAGGCAGGCTGAGGCTGAGGCTGAGGCTGAGGCAGGCTGAGGCTGAGGCAGGCTGAGGCTGAGGCCGAGGCTGAAGGCAGACTGAGGCTGAGGCTGAAGCAGGCTGAGGCTGAGGCTGAGGCAGGCTGAGGCAGGCTGAGGCTGAGGCTGAGGCTGATGCTGAGGCAGGCTGAGGCTGAGGCTGAGGCTGATGCAGGCTGAGGCTGAGGCAGGCTGAGGCTGAGGCCGAGGCTGAAGGCAGACTGAGGCTTAGGCTGAAGCAGGCTGAGGCTGAGGCTGAGGCTGAGGCTGAGGCAGGCTGAGGCTGAGGCTGAGGCAGGCTGAGGGCTGAGGCTGAGGCTGAGGCTGATGCAGGCTGAGGCTGAGGCAGGCTGAGGCTGAGGCCGAGGCTGAAGGCAGACTGAGGCTGAGGCTGAAGCAGGCTGAGGCTGAGGCTGAGGCAGGCTGAGGCTGAGGCTGAGGCAGGCTGATGCTGAGGCAGGCTGAGGCTGGCTGAGGCTGATGCAGGCTGAGGCTGAGGCTGAGGCTGAGGCCGAGGCTGAAGGCAGACTGAGGCTGAGGCTGAAGCTGAGGCTGAGGGCTGAGGCTGAGGCTGAGGCTGAGGCTGAGGCTGAGGCAGGCTGAGGCTGAGGCTGAGGCTGAGGCTGATGCAGGCTGAGGCTGAGGCAGGCTGAGGCTGAGGCCGAGGCTGAAGGCAGACTGATGCTGAGGCAGGCTGAGGCTGAGGCTGAGGCAGGCTGAGGCTGAGGCTGAGGCAGGCTGATGCTGAGGCAGGCTGAGGCTGAGGCTGAGGCTGATGCAGGCTGAGGCTGAGGCAGGCTGAGGCTGAGGCCGAGGCTGAAGGCAGACTGAGGCTGAGGCTGAAGCAGGCTGAGGCTGAGGCAGAGGCAGGCTGAGGCTGAGGCTGAGGCAGGCTGATGCTGAGGCAGGCTGAGGCTGAGGCTGAGGCTGATGCAGGCTGAGGCTGAGGCAGGCTGAGGCTGAGGCCGAGGCTGAAGGCAGACTGAGGCTGAGGCTGAAGCAGGCTGAGGCTGAGGCTGAGGCAGGCTGAGGCTGAGGCTGAGGCAGGCTGATGCTGAGGCAGGCTGAGGCTGAGGCTGAGGCTGATGCAGGCTGAGGCTGAGGCAGGCTGAGGCTGAGGCCGAGGCTGAAGGCAGACTGAGGCTGAGGCTGAAGCAGGCTGAGGCTGAGGCTGAGGCAGGCTGAGGCTGAGGCAGGCTGAGGCTGAGGCTGAGGCTGAGGCAGGCTGAGGCTGAGGCTGTGACTGCGACTGCCGTTGCCACTGCGACTGTCATCGCGAATGCGACTACGACTGCGAGAACAGCAGAATTCTACAACTGGATTCTCATCTGAATCTTAAGGGGAGTGTTTCCAGATATGCTCCTACACATCGCTGTTAGGTTGCTTTGCCGGGATAGTTCGTTTTTTTTGTCCTAAGATGTTCACGGGTTCCTATGATCAATGTACCAAACATTGGCGTTTCGCGGTGCTGCGTTATGGCACACTTCCGGATCGCCAAAACGCCACAGTCAGGTTGACACATGGCGTTGAAATCCCGAGAGCAATATTCGGGCATGCTTCAGGATCTTCAAACGGCTGTCTTCCAACGAGGCAATTCCCTCAATAGAAATGAACCGTTGCAGGGGTCTATGACGAGGGAATTTTGAGGGAGGGTTAATTCCAACATCGTTGATGAGTCTTGCGTTTACACTGGTCCTCCTCCTCCTCCTCCTCCTCCTCCTCGTCCTCCTCCTCCTCGTCCTCCTCCTCCTCCTCCTCCTCCTCCTCCTCCTCCTCTTCTTCCTCCTCCTCTCCTCCTCCTCCTCCCCCTCCCTCCTCCTCCTCCTCCTCCTCCTCCTCCTCCTCCTCCTCCTCCTCCTCCTCCTCCTCCTCCTCCAGGCCCTCACGGCGCCGCGGATGATCTGAGAATGCCCCGTCCTTTTTGCTCGCCCCCTTCGGTGCCCCAGGGTGAGGCACGCCATGACGAGGGGGTCAAAGAGTTCAGGGGCACGGCCCGAGCAAACGGGGCGGGATCGCGCTCGCGGGTCCAGCGTTCGGAGGACCCGATGGAGCGTTGGGGGTCAGGAGAAAGAGGCATCCAGGAGACGCCCGGCTGCAGAGGTCACCAAAGGTCCCCATATGCGAAGGTCTCCAGAGTTGTCCTGAGGCCGCCAGGGGTCCCCTAGGGACCTCCTGGAGGCCTCTTGAGGTCCAAGGCAGCGTCCCAAGCCTGGATCCTCGATCAGCGTGGAAGAAATTGGGGGAACCAAAAAAAACGATACCGTTACTCCTTGGACATTTCCGCGAGTTCACTCCGACCCAGATGCCTCGGCGAATGCAGCCCCGGCGACGAAGGTTTTCCAGGACGAGCGGCGGTGCATGGCCACCTGCGTCGCCCCCGAGAAACGGTGAGGGAGGAAAGAGGGGGGCAAGGAGGCGGAGACGCCCACGCCAAGCGGCTGTTATTGAAAAAAGCTTGCGCGCGCGGGGGCAACCTCAGTCAGAATTCCTGCGGCGCGGGCGGGGGTGCGGGGGGGAGGGGAACGCGGGGGGGCGCGGGGGCATGTCAGCCCAGCAGCCGTCTGCTGCGATGGCGGCAGGGGGGTCCCGATGGTCTCGGATGCTCAGGCGGGGCGTGCAGTCGACACGTGGCCAGAAGCAGGGCTCGACCAACACAATGTTGCTCGTTTTCGCGCTCTTATCGTGCTCCCTCGTTTTGTTTCCGATCCGCCTCTGCCGCAACACGATGTCGAAACGACAACGGCCCACGAAATCACCAACGCACCGTTTAGATCAACCCCTGGCCAAAAGAAAGTGGATCGATAACACGAGACCCTCCGCCGAAGGCCTAAGGGCCCCGGGGCGATATCCGGAGCGAAAAACTCTCCAATATGCAACGCCCAAGCACGAGTAACAAAAGGGTACCCCTCCAAAGCCAGGGATGTCATTGCATAGTTCCCGTGCCAGGTGTATTGCGCAGGTTCTGCGTGAAGGTTTCTAACCTTGCGCAGGCGATAACAATGCCCGGGGGGATAGTAAAGATCGGGGGCCTGGCGGGGATAATAATGGAATTTACCGGGGAAGATAAGTCATGATGATGATGAAGACAATGATCATGCCGATTGTGATCCTGGGCGCTCGGCGCAAGTCTGACCCGAGAGATCTCGATGCTCGTGGCTATACAACTTGCCAGCAGGCGCTCGGCACAAGACTGACTCGAGAGATCCCGAGGCTCGGGGCTATGCAACTTGCCAGCAGGCGCTCGGCGCAAGACTGACTCGAGAGATCTCGCGGCTCGTGGCTATACAACTTGCCAGCAGGCGCTCGGCGCAAGGCTGACTCGAGAGACCTCGAGGCTCGTGCCTACAACTTGCCAGCGCAAGAGAGGTCCTTGGCCGTTCTGGCCAAGAGACCTCTCGCGCGCTGGACTTCGAACCATTCCTCCACGCAAGCACGGCATCTTTTGGGGCCGTCCTTGCATGGGAGACACTTGGCGCACTCTTGGGCGGCAGCGCTTGCCTCCTCGAAGGCGGCGTACTTTGGCTCGGCCGCCGCGGGGCCCTTGCTGGGCTTGGACTTGTGCTTGGCCTCGGCCTCGGCCTGGGCCTTGGCCACGTCGTTGTCGCTGGCCTCCTTGAGCTTGTTGATCCACTCGTTGCCTCGGACGCGCATCGCGTTGATGCTCGCGGGCGATCGGCGGCCCTCGCCTCGGATCTCGCGCAGTGCGCGCTAAATCTAGCAACTCGCCCACAGGCCGCAGCTCCAACAGCCGGCTTGGAACATCGCATTGCTCGGTGCAGGGCGGCCCTCGCCAGGGCCAATGGCGCCGCGCTTGCGGGGGATCCTCGCGGCGGCCATGGGGGGCCACGCGCGAACCCTACCCGCGATTCCTGAGAGGGAGGGCGGGGTGCACTTCGTTCGGCAGTTCCCGAGCAAAGTGAACCCTACCTCCCCCATCAGAGATCGCCGGGTGTAGGTGCGCGTTCGCACATGGCCCTTTTGGGCCTGCATGGCGCTCTCGGACGGCTGCTTGAGGGCGTCGCGTTCCTCCACCGCGACGCCCCCGCCGATCGTCGAGACCCTGGCGAGCGTTGCCACGAGTGCCCGCTGCCAAAGTGCCCCCAGGATCCGCTCCAAAACGGAACGAAACAACTGGAGGCACCTTAGGGCGGGAACAGTTGTAGCAACCGCCGGCCTTGAGGCACGCGCAGTGCGCAGGCGCCTCGGAGCGCGCGCAGACCAAGACGTGCTGGGCCTTCTCGACCCTCTCGGCCCAGCGCTTCTGCTCCTCGGGCTGCTGGGCGGCGGGTTCATCCTCGCCCTGGCCCTCTCGAGCCCAAGCGACGGCCGCCGTGGGCTCGACCGCCAGAACGGTCTCGGGGGCGCCCACGCGCTCCTCGATCTCGCCCAGCAGCGCGCGCGCTGTGCCCAGCTCGAGGGCGTCGCCCTTGACGATCTGCTCGCAGTTCACGATCGCGTACTCCTTGGCGAGCTCGGTGCTGCGACCCCCTCTGATCTGGCGCCAGTCGAGCTTGCGCGGCTCGGGGAACATGTAGTCCTGCTCGATCATGACCTGTGGCGCTCTGGATTCCCGGGCACTCGTTAGCTTCCGCCTGCTTCCGCTTCGTGTCGCTTCCGCCTGCTTCCGCCAGCTTTCCGCCAACTTCCGCCGTCGCTTCCGCCGTTTCCGATGGCTCCCGCATGCTTCCGCCGCCCCAGTCGGAAGCAGGCGGAAGCAAACGAGCGCCCGTGCCCCCCCCTGCCTCGCTGCTCTCGATCTGGAAGATCGCCGCGGTGTCCACCTCGAGGACGCGCAGGCGGCGCGCGTCCTCGGTGCCCAGGACTCGCCAGACGCCCTGCTCTCTGCCGCGCCTGCCCTCGCGGGCGCCCTCCGAGGTAACGCGCGCAACTTTGCCGTGCCAGGGGGGGGGAGGGGTCCTCGCAAGCCTCGAGGCACGTTTTCTTCTTGGCCTTGTCCTTCACCTTGGCGTTATTCTGCGCATAGTGCTTCTGGTTGAACTTCGTGGAGAAGCTCGCGCGCGCCTTCGGCGGCCTGCCTGCGAGCCTCGCCTTGGCCACGCCTCGGCCCAGGTGCTCGAGCGAGGCCTCGCCGCCAGTCTTGGCCCCCCGACGCTGCCACTTGCGCGCGTGCTCGCCCAGGGCCCAGGAACTGGCCCGCGAACTTGGGCACCCACCTGTTCTTGCGATGCTTTGTCCGTTTCAGCTTGACTCTGTTCTCGAGGGCGCGCGGGGACTGGATCTCCTTGATCCGCTCTTCTGTGTTCTGAGGAGCACGTTCTTCTGCTCGCCGGCGAGCTCGAGGTCCAATTCTCGGAGCTCCTGGAGGCAGGGGTTCTCGTCCTGCTCGCAGTCCCTGGGCAAGTCGTCGGCGTGGAAGCAGTTGCCGTCGAGGGCGCCCCGCTCGGGCACGGGCGGCGAACCCTCGGGCCAGCTCTGGACGCCCTCTAGGCGCCCCCTCGCCAGGCTGTGCTCGATGCCGCGGCCGGGCTCGATGGAGTAGCTCCACGGGTTCATGCCCGCGACGACCTTGAGCTCGCCCTGCTCTGTCGGCCAGACCGCGAGCAGTTGGTTCGCTCGTAGCCCTCGGAGCGGCACCGCGCCCTTGTTCTTCTCGCGGAAGCGGGCGCGGGCCTCGGAGACGCAGTAGAGGCGCTCTTAGGGCCCCCAGTGTGTCGAAGACTTGCGCTGCTTCTGGGGCTCGTTCTTGGCCTTCTGGATCCAGTCCTACTCCATGGCCCAGCGCATCTCGGCCACGACCTCTCGGATCGCGGCCTTGAGCTGGCTGCGCTCGCGGGCGCCCGGCCCCCGCAAGAAGCTCGCGACGTCGGGGGCCACGGGCGCGTAGATCACATTCTGGAGCCACGCTCGGAGCGCCACTGCCTCGGTCCACTGGCTCGAGAGGCAGCCTGCGAACACGAGGCCCTGGCCGTGCTCCTGCTGAAGTCGATGGCCCAGGAAGCGACCAGCTCGCCCGCCCAGGCCCTGGGCTGCCCCACCACGTCGACGGCCTCGAAGGCCCTCGCGCGGCCCCCCGAGGAGAACTCGAGCAAAGCGTTGCGCCGGCCCGTGAGCAATGCTCCTGGGGGCTCGCCTGCTCGGAAGCGCCCCGTCTCGCCATCGCCCCGCTCGTAGGTGGCGTCGCGCCGCCAGGTGCCCTCCCCGAGGTTCATGTCGCTCACTCGCCAGTGCCTTGCGCAGGGGGCAAGGCACTGGCGGTGACCACGCCGGCGATCTCGCGGGACAGCCCGGCGCCCTGGCCCCTCGTCTGCCTGTGGCGGCTCGGGCAGGCGTAGCCGCAGGCTCGGGGGCCGTTCGTGCCGAGCCCCCCGCGGCAACCTTCTTCTCGAGAGCAGCTCGAAGGCCGTGCCACGGGGCAACCGCGCCGAAGCTCCAGCGCCATGTGTTCTGCAGCTTGGCCTTCGCTGCTCCGCGGGCTGCTCCAGTCGAGGAAGATCTGGAGCTTGGGCTGCGCTGAGGGGTCTCTTCGCAGCGCGGGTGCAGCTCGGGGCTTGCGCGTTCCCTCGCAGTCCACCTTCGTACCCTGGGGTCTGCCGCCCTTGCCGAGGCCTCGCTTCACGCCTCGGCCGAGATCGTCCGGGGCGAGGGCCTTGCCCTCGGCGCTCGAAAACTCTCGGCGCGCGGCCGCGGCCGCGACCCCCTCCTGATGGGGGGGGGGGGGGAGGAGTGCATGTAGTACTGCAGTCGACACGCGCAGCAAGGATGCGCAGTAAAGATGCAAGGCCTTTGGAAGGCCCAGAGATGGGCCGAAAGGGGGGGCAAGGATGCAAGGGCATCTGGCTAACCTCGAAATGATTGCTCATCCTTACTGCGCGGGCCGACTGTAGTAGTCGTGGTAGTAGTAGTAGTAGTAGTAGTAGTAGTAGTAGTAGTAGTAGTAGTAGTCGTAGTAGTAGCAGTAGTAGTCGTAGTAGTAGTAGTAGTGATTGTAGTAGTAGTAGTAGCAGCATTTAGTAGCAATAGTAGCAGCAATAGGAGCAGGAGCACTAGCCGGAAGGGGGGAAGAAGAAGGGCGGGAGAAGGAAGAGAGCAGAGGATGGCCCCAGGATCGATCTTCAATTGTTTTTGATTCGGTGCCTTAGGTTTCTGAAGTGTAAAAACTGATAATTTTCATTCGCTTGCAGTCTTGCACGCAAGGGCGCCCGCGGCGAGACCCAGCGGGGGACAGAAAAACCCGGCGACGAACAAGCTCGGGCCCCGGGGACGGGGACGGGGAGGGGGGGAAGGAGAGAGGGGGGGAGGAGGAGGAGGAAAAGGGAGAGGAGGAGAAGGGATTCTGCTCGGCCGTCTCAGCCTCGAGCCTCTCGGCCTCGAGTCCCTCGTAGAAGCTCGCAGCGGACTCGGCCGCTCCGTTGGGCGAGGTTCCCAGCTTCTCGCGCGAGCTCGGGGCCGCGGGCGGCGAGGTCGCCGGACCCCAGAGGCGTCTGCTTCGTCGGCGCGGCCATCGGAGTCTCGCTGCAAAGCTGCAAG